AAGTTTTTATGGGTTTCTAAGGAGCTTTCTCACAGCACCATCTGGTGGACATCCAGCAACTTTTACCAGTATCAATACATAGAGACTGACAAAAGTATCTATACGATGGTTACTCAAAAATCCAGTGCAAATTCTCTAAAGTGGCTGCCATCATTACCTGCTACACATACCTGGATGAGATCCAAGATCCCAAGTTCACTCTCTGATGAATCCACACAAAAAACAAAGTAGAGGGTAGCATAGTGCCGATAAATCAGTTTGTAGTCAGAGCCACCAATCAAACTGTAGAAGATGGGAAACAGTTAATGCCCATATCTTAACTGAACATATCAAAGAGAAACTCTGCACCAAGGAATGAGAACAGACCCAATAGAGAGGGGGAGGACAGGCCGAACAGGCCATTTCTGCCAGCAGAATGGCAACCAAATTTGGCAGAGGTGCCTAAAGCCATTTTACCTCACTTTTTCTTCTGCACATCCTCCCAGAAACCAAACATCTAAATATCTGAAGCACAATCATTTAACTGCTTCCAAAACAGAACTGGGTCTCTCCCTGAGTATATGGTGCTGAGATCAGCTCAAGCTGCATAGGCACTCACCAGACACTTGAGTACAGCCTGAAGAAGCAATAATGATGAAAGTAGATATATGGGGAGAAAACTGATCATTTACCTTCCACCCTCCAAGAAGTTACAGATGTTGTCATCCCGCTTGAGAACTAGATGGAAGGTCTCTCGAACAATCTGCTGTTGAATTTCTTCTGGCTATGAATTAAAAGAAAGAAAGTGAATCAGTGGGAAAACTACATCCCATCAATGGAGATGGACAGGAAGGGGAGAGCTTCCAAGCTGGGAATGATCTGAACATTTGGTACCAGTTTCCAGAAAAGATAAAAATGATGAGTAGAGAAAAAATAAAAGGGGACTCTTTAGAAAAATGGATAACAAAGCTCTGTTAAAGGGATTAAAATGGAGTATATTTACCTAAATATCTAGTCTCTAACCATTACCGTCCTGACAGGTAAGCTGGTATTTCTTTATTGTTAACAACCAAGGAAAGAAGTACTGACAACCTCTCATACAAAGTCAAAGAATAACTAGAAGGCCTGGTCCTGAAATATTTAGTCTTACCCTAGAAAACATCTATGCCATGGTAATTAACAAATGTCAACGGGTCTAACACTTCAATGAAGTCAAAATATAATCGCATACATGTTTTAAAAACCTGAATTTGACATCTTTTGTACTGGTAATACAGATATTACATTTAAGATGCTGTGTTATCAACAAAGTACTACTGAGAAAGACAGAAAATGTTCTATTTACAGATTAGAATTTTGAACAATTGCAGAGCTACAAATATGTTTTTTCACTTACTACACATGAGAAAACCCAGCTATGATGGAATCTGTTGATAACCCACATTTAGTTTCTACTTGTACATATCAGTTGCATAATAAGCATGGTTTAAAAAAAGGATAATGAGAGGGAGAAATCAGTCATTAAGACAAAAGTAATTAAAAGCTCTACACCAGTGCTCTCAAATCTCAATGTGTAATGAATCACCTGAAAATGCTGTTAAAATGCAGATTCCAATTTAGTGGGTCTGGGATAAGTTCTGATACTACAGTTCTAACAAGCTTCCAGCTGATACCAATGCTGCTGGTCTGGGGATCACACTTCGAGTAGCAAAGCTTAAGGAAACCTTCAGATTGAACTTGCCTTAAGAGTCAGATAATAGATTCTAGTAAAGTTAACCCCTTTCTTCCTACAGCATGAATTTAGGCTTGAAATGCTTAGTTATCTAAAAGAAAAAGATGAAAAAATAAGGAAAATGTCATTGTACAGAAATTATTTTCCATAACTTTGATTTAACATGGGTATACAGTGGCTCTCCGTATTTACTGAATGGATGAATGAAAACCTGCCAGTCACTGGTCACTATAAGTTTGAGTAAATTAATCTCTATTTTCTGGTTTCCATTTAAAGAACTCACAAAGCTCACAGATGCCAGGATTCTGTAAAGGATTAACTCTGTGTACTCAGAAATACAAAACATGCTAAGCATGCTAAGCATCAGCACTTTTTTTTTTGCATCAGCACTTTTTTAAACCAACAAAAACATCTTTCAAACTAAAGCCTTTTATCTGACTCTAGGGGGAAGTGGCAGTAGTTGGCGGGGTAAATGGTGAAGCTACCTAATTTCGAATTCAACAAAATGGCAAACTACCAATTGCTTACTTAATCTCAATTATTTTAATAATCCCTCCTTTCTTTTAGTACTCTGCAGTGTTCAAGGTAATTTTCACTCAGGAGCTAATTCAGTTCTTATAAAAATCCTATGCTCTCCAAACATATACACATGGTCAATAAGGACATGAAAGATGCGCAACATCATTAGTCATTAGGAAAACAGAAATTAAAAACCACAAGGAGAATCCACTATAAACCCATTAAAATGTCTTTAATCAAAAAGATAATAAAAAAGTTGATAGGAAGGTAAATTGGAACTCATACATTGTTGATAGGAATGTAAAATGGTGCAGCCACTTTGGAAAACAGTTTGGCAGTTCCTCCAAATGTTCACCATAAAGCTACCATGTGGCTCAGCAGTTCTACTCCTAGATATATACCCAAGGGAAATGAAAATACATGCCTGCACAAAAGCCTATACATGAATGCTCATAGCAGCATTATTCACAACAGCCATAGGTAGAAACATCAACTGATTAATGGACAAAACATGGTACTTTCACACAATGGAATATAACTTGGCAAAAAAAAAAAAAGAATTAAGAACTGACACATGCTAGAACATGGAAAAAAACCTTGAAAACATACAAAATGAAAGAAGTCCATCATAAAAGACTACATATTGTGTGATTCCATTTATATGAAATGTCCAGAATAGGCAAATTTAGAGAGACATAAAGTAGATTAGTGGGGCCTAGGGCTGGGGGAGTTGAATGGGAAATACCGAAAGACTGCTAATGGGTAGAGGTTCCTCTTTGAGATAATGAAAATGTTCTAAAATTGTGGAGATGGTTGCATAACTCTGTGAAGTATTAAAAACCATTCTATTGTATATTTTTAAAAGCTGAACTGTATGGTATGTAACTTATATCTAAAAACACTTTTAAAAACCTGAGGGAAAAATTCACACACACACAAATGCAAATACAAACTGAACAGTGTTACTGAATGCTAATATAAAATGATATAATTATTTAACAAAATATAACCTAGCTAAAAAATTCTATGAAAAAGGTAATTTTGTTTTCTTTACTATCTAACAAAAGAGGAAGTAAAATCTGAAAGAGGTTTGTTAACTTGACATAAGGGTAAAAAAAGGTGTTGCTGAGACCTGCACTAAAGTTTTCTGACACTTTCCCTTCTATGGTTTCACCAGCCCATAATTATGTACATAACATTTTGAAATCTAGCCAGGAAGGGATAAAACGTCGAGGGAATGGGGGAGAAGCGCAGGAGGCAAATAATTTTTTTTTCCAGAAGAATGTTTTTGGACAATGCAAATTCACATATTACGTACTGAGCCCTCATGTGGCAGCATTTATAATTTCTCATTTCCTACTTTCACACTGACTTTCTTCAACTCTGTATAGCGTGAAGGCTATCTAGTCCCTGGGCAGTCCCTGCCAACACTGAAGCAAAATAATTCCAAGAAAGCACTTTTCCATATCCTCTGGCTAAAGCAAAACCATTGAAAAGCTGCATACTTCTTTCTCCTCGAGAAACTGCGTTTAACAACTAACAAGATTAAAGTCACTTCAATCATTCAGGTTGTCAATGAGGCACACCCACCCACTACCACTTACAGTGCCCTGAGACCCTGGGAGAAGTGTCACAAAATGGCACAGAAACGCCAGGGTCCAGGAAGAGGTGGGAAAGAGCAGGGGCAGCGGGCGTAGGGTGAGGGCCTGACACTAGCCCCCCAGTCCGGGGAAGGCTGTCTTAGGGTTACGCGAGATACAGGAGCCCGAGGTGGTCAGCAGGCTGTACGCCAGTGCGCCAAAGAAAGGGAAGGAGGCGCGGATGCCCCGAAAGGACATGAGGAAACTGGGCCGCACTCACGAAACGCTGGTAGAAGCGGACCAACCGCGGCTTCCCGTGATTATTGAAAACAAGAATCGCCTGAATCATCTTCGCCCGCCACGCTTCTCACCACCGGCTGCTGCCAGAAAACACCTCCTTCCGCCACAACACGGACGCTTCCGGTTGGTGCACTGCTGAGAGTGGCCCCCGGAAACTTGTCTCGGCGCCCAGAGCCCCGACTACGAAGAGTCCGGCTTCCCGGCACGCCTTGGAGGAGGCTGCAGGGTGCGCGGCGCGTTCGCCGGGGGGTGGGCTGGTACGGACACTGAGGCTGGGGAGGGCTGTCATCTCGACCAGAGTCGGTTGTCCAGTCAGGGCCTGGGCAGGACGGAAACCCGAGGCTCTGTGCCCTTCGCTCAGACCGACTGATTACAGCAGAATCCGGGGCCTGACGGAAAGCCGAGCACGTCGGAAAAGCAGACCCAGAAGCAGAATTCCCATCAGCAGCTCCCAGGTGAAGACGCCGCAGGAGCCTCCCTTTCTCATCGTCTGCGTTAATACATACAGCTCTGCCTTCCCCTTAACTCTGCAGAATGTTCCGCGGTGTGGAGATGCCAGCTAATTTAGCCATTCCCCGGGGAACGTTAGGGTCATTTTTTTATTTTTCAGTATTATGTACATACGATGCTGCAGTGAATCTCATAGATGCCTCGTGGGCAAAACAGCTTTTTGTCCATGAGAGTGAATGGTGGAATTAGGGGATCTTTAATGCAATTCCATTTAAAAGGTACCAGCTATTCCAAATTGATAACGTTTTTGTATTTCCTTTTAATGACTTACTCGGGGTGAGGTGCAGCACGTCCCTATGTTGCGATAGAGCTGCAAATTAGAATCACCTACCCAGAGGGCTGTTGACAACATATATTAAAAGTCCTTAAAATTATATAGAACATTAGGCTCAGCATTTCCAGTCTTAGCATTTATAGTAAAGTGATTGTGGACGTGTGGAAAGATTTAGCCACAAGAACGTACACCTTAGCAGTGTTATTACAGGGGAAAATGGGAAGCAAAGTAATTATTCCAAAATAAGAAATCGGTTAAATGCATTGATCCACATGCATATGAGAAATATTAAAGATTTGTTTTTAAAAAATCACATTGTGAAAGATTTACGGTATAGGGAAATGTTCATGGCATACCTGTAAGTGAAAAGATTACACAAAGTATGTACAGGGACATCCAACTTTGTAAAAGATTGTAAGTATATACACCAAAATATGAATAATAATTGTGTTTGATGGAATGGCAGCATTGTCGTGTACAGCACAGGCCTCTGCAACCACAATGCCCTAATTAAAACCCTGGCTCTGTTGACCACCTGGGCACCTTGGGCAAGTATCATCATTTGTAAAACAAACATAATACGTTTCATTTACTATAAAACTGGGGGTTTTTTCTACTTGGAAAAAAAATGGTTCTACTTACTTCAGACAGTTGTTATAGCACAAGAGGAGTTAATATTTGTAAGTACTCGGAGCAGTGCATGGTGTATAATTGAGTACTACATAAGTGATTGTTTTTAAATGATGGTGAAATTATATTTTTTTCCTTTTTAAAATTTTCTAAAATAAAATGTATACTCTTGTAGCCAGAGGTTTTTTACTTAGAAGAATGCAAAGGCAATAAATAGGCACTGAAACCTTACAAAATGTTTCAAATGTTGAGGAGGAATACCAAAAAAAAAATTCAAAACAGAAGCATAATGAGTGAGACCTAGTTCAAGTTGTCATTACAGGGAGACTTATTGAAACGTAACGGATAATTTAAATATAAAATTACTTTAATATGTGATGTAGAAGACATCGTACCCTGACAGTAGGAAGGAATTCAATATATTGTGATAACTGGTTAGCAATCTGAAAATAAGCAATTTAGTTATCTCACTTCATACCCTCTCACAAATTACAGGCAGAGTGGATCAGAGTTAAACATAAAACCAGATAATGAATAGAAGAAAATCATAGTGAGCATCTAACATCTGAGAAGACTATATATTACGAAGTTTAGAAGCAATAAAAATCACAAAAAGTCAACAGACTTATCTATATAAAGATTTTATGTTTGTAAATCAATTTCTTAAATGGAAAAGTTTTAAAAAATATGGCACATGGTTACACTTAAAATATAAATAACTGATACACTAAAAAGACCTTCCCCGTCAGTAATAAATGGGCAAAGGGACCAAGTAACAAATGAGGAAATAAGCCTAGGAAATGAACATGAAAAAAAAATGTTTAAGCTTGCTAGTAATGGGGGAATGGGCTAATTAAAATGAAAGTATTAACTCTAAAATTAAAGTTATAAAGTATTATTTTCACCTTATCAAATATCATTTTTTAAAATATTACCATACCCATGTCTGGCAAGGGTAGCATGAAGATGGTCCTCTCCTACATTGCTGGTGAGATTATAATTTAGAACAAACCTTTTGGAAAGCAATTTAGCAATATAACAAGACCTTTATGAAAAATTCCTAGATTCCCAGTAATCTGACTCCTGGAAATCCATCCCTAAAGAAATAACCTCCAAAATATAGCGTGTGCATGTGCGTTTGTGTGTGTGTGTGGCAGGTGAGACTGAGGAAACTATATAATTTACAAAGGTTTTGACACAACTCCAAATAGGGATCAATTAATTACCCCTATTTTGGAAAAATGACAGAGTTATTAAGGTAGTCAGTCTTAAAAACAATAGTATGAAGACTAGCAATGTAGAAAGTGGTTATATATCATTAACTGGAAAAGGATTATCAAATTTTATGCGTTGGTATAATATTGCAATGACAATGTCTAGAAATTGCATATTCCAGATTAGGCCACTCCCCCAACTCCATGGCTTTGCAGGGCCTCTTCTCTGCCTGCCTCTAAATTTCTTTCCATCCCCACTGCCACTGCTATAGATCAAACCGCTCTAGGCTCTACCCCTCAACTGCAGCAGTCTCCTAGTTGGGCTTATTAACTTCAATTTCTCTGTAGTCAAGTGATCTTTGAAATAATCAAGTCAGATCTTACTGCCCTCCCTAGATCACTGGCTCCCAAGGTATTAAGGATAAAGTCCCCAAATACTTAACATGCTGAAGGTGCCACACCCGACCTCCAGCCTCATCTCATATACACTTCCACTCCCACCATTCTCTGAGCTCCAGCCACGATGGCCTTTTCCTTCCAGGAGCTCATCCCCACCCATCCGAGACATCAAGCCCAGTTGTTACCTAGGGTTTTCCCTACTGACACCCTGGGCCTCCTTGTTTAGAAGAGTGGCCTTCCCTTATGAGCTTGCCAAACCCTTTGGCCACAGTGCTTTGGGCAGCAGGATGCCCTCACTGGGTGCCTCTCCTCCAGTCAGGGTCCCCAGTCCTCTTCCTGTTTAATCCCTTCCCTGACCACTGCCATCGTTGAGGTCCCAGCGTGCTCAAGAGTGAGCCAGCCCCATTCGGACACAGGACACCAAGGAGGCTGCTTCTACAATAACCAAGGTGAGAGATCACAAGGATGTGAACTGTGAAAAGGGCAGCAAGAACAGAAGAGACCCAAGAGCAGTGTAGTGACCTGTGACTGCAGGTGGCCTAAAGGAAGTGTTAATCCTGAGTCTCACAGCCATATTGTTGAGCCCAGCTCAAACATGCAGGAAGGCAAATGAAAGTTTGAACCATGACAATCAATGCTGGGACCTCACCATGAAAACCATGTGAACCATATGAAAAAAATGGAGATAATAATCACATGTGCCTCTTGGGATTGTTGTGACAATTAAGTAAGATACAGCAAGTGCTTGGCACAAGTACTAGCACCCGGAAGCACTCAACAGTCAGTGGCTATAGTTATTATGACAGAAAGCATCTAGTGCTGTGTTTGACACATTAAGGAACTCAATAATATTGTTAGTTTACCACCACCTACACTTTCCTCTGTGGCAGGCAGGAGCCACATCCCACCAAGTCCCTACCCATTCTTAGGACATGTAGATTTCAACTCCAGATCTCTTCATAGATCTGGGTGCAGGCACACAACCCAGCAAGGCAATGTTCATGGCCGAAAAGATATGGCTTTTGTCTTATAGGGAGGTTGCTCCGCTGGAAAGCTGTTTACATCTGATAATAACCCCATCAGTGTAGAAGAATCCTCTCCTGAAGATTCACTCATTCATAAAAAGTTCTCAAGGTACAAAAGAACAAGAAAAAAAGGTGTTCTGGCAGAGTGAGTCAGAGATGGGGACCAGCCAGCCATCTGTGAATGCTCTCGGCCTCCTTGAGAAGAGCATCCCCAGGAAAGCAGCCAAGGGAGGTCAGGAGACAGGACCCCCCAAGGTGGTAGAGAATCAGAGGAGTAATAAAGAACTGGCAGCTCTGTGGGCTGAAAAGGGCAGAAGGGACATGGAGATCTGAGCAAGAGAGCAGAGACTACAACACAGAGTGCTGCCGGGTGGGGCAGAGGGAGCAGGTGTGGAAGGAAAGCAGGAAATACACCAAGGGCAGAGGAAGGAGGGGCCCTGCTAACTTCTCCTCTGAGCCACTCTGCTTGCAGATGAGGGATTTCCCCCAATTCTGCGCCAAGACCAAGCCCAGGCCCTCTGACTGCCCTGCTGCTTCCAGAAACACCACTCAGGGCGAGGGCCATCATGAAAATGTCTAGGAAGACTAGACTCACATCCCAGGAAGGACCCTCCATGAGCCACAGCATCGGGTCCCACTGCTAATGTTGGGGTCTTGGATTTGATTTTAGTAGAGCTGGTTCAAAGGGTACTCCATGGCGGCCTTGGGGAAGAACCAGGTAAGGCTTGGTGGACTGCTCCCTAGAGCTCCAGAGTAAAAGTTGATGGAAGAAATGCTCAACAGTGCTGGTGGGCCCCGGAGGCACTCCATCTCCTCAGTCATCCTGGGGGTAAAGAGATGTGAATAAAGCACATTTCATAAGAGTCTTCTATAAGTCATCAGACAAACAAGGGTTCAACTGAGTGGCACCAGTGGGGCCTGCCTTGGCCTCATCTCAGAGTTGGCCCAGAGAGCCGGCCTGGCAACTCCAATTGTTTTTCAGTCCAAGACTTACTCTCTTAAGACAAAAGGGAATCCAGACCCTCTACTCCACCTGCCCCTGCTTTCTCTGTCAAGCATCATCATCTTCATCACCTAGATAAACAG